TCATATATAAGAACAAAGTTCCATTAGTTTTTTCCAACTGTTTATCCATCAAGCCCAAAAGGAAAGTCTCTGGTTTGATTGAATACTAATCTTTAAAATCTTCTGTATGCAAATATGTATCTCATCCCATTTTTTTTTGCTTTTTTTTTTTTTTTTGCTTTTTTACAAGTCCACCAGAGATGATAGAATGTCCCTTCTTCTTGTTCACATTTCCAACATACATTCAAAGTATCTTTATACATTTTGGATATTTTTTTCTGGCAACAAGTACCAACTAAACATCATTTTATAAAAGTTCTCTTTAAGGTTATAGCACAATGTAAATTTCAGTCCTTTCTGGCACATATTTTCCCATTGTTCCATCTGTATATTATAGCCAAAGTTTTTAGCCCATTTTATCATACAGTCCTTAATTGGTTCATCTTCTGTCTCTAGTTTCAATAAAAGTTTGTATATCTTGTCAATAGCACATTCATAATTAGTACATAATTCTGCTTCAAATTCAGTCTTACCATATTCAAAACCATAAGTCCTTTTATCCATTTTAAATCTTTCTTGTAACTATACATAGGAAAACCATTGACACATGTATCCTTTTGATATCAATTCCTCTCTTGTCTTTAATTTAAAATCTCTTTGAGAAAATTCCAATATGTCACCATAAGTTAACCATTTATGTTTAGTTATCATTTCTCTTAAGGGAAACATCAGAGACAGGTTTATATCTGTTCCATATTCTCTATATGGCACGTTTAATGAAATTATTTTTGAAATCTACATTAACTTTACCTTTATCATATCACAAATAGCCATGCCACTCAAATCTCAGGTCATACCCCTCTAGTTCCAATAACCTCCTATTTCTCAAAGTCACCCACTCCTTCATCCAAACCAAACAACAAGATGCAAAATACAACTTCAAATCCAGGAGACCTAAACCTCCTCTTTATTTAGCATCTTGTAAAACTTTATACTTAATTTGCAGGTTTTTGCCTTGCCACACAAATTTAGATATGCCTTTATGCCATTGTTTAAATGGAACATCAGTTGTCATAACAGGTATTGTTTGAAAAAAAAAAAAACATTCTAGGTAAAACATTCATCTTAATTACAGAAATTCTTCCCAACAATGACAATTGTAATTTTTCCCATCTTAACATATCTTTTTTAATTTCATTCCAAGTGTTAACGTAATTGTTTTGAAACAACATACAATTACTATTTGTCAAATTCACCACCAAATACTTAACCTTTTTTTCAATCTTAAAACCCTGTTTGTTCGTCAATTCTTCTTATTCTTGTATCCTCACATTTTTGTTAACATTTTAGTCTTTTGTTTATTAATTTTAAAAACAGCCAAAACACCAAATTATTTCAGTGTTTTTATTCAAGCTTCGATCCCTTTCAAGGGCTCCTCCAGCACCAACACTAAACCATCTGCAAGGGCTCTCAACTTATGTTTCCTTCTTAATTTTTATGCCCCTTCTCATCTCTCTTTAGGTCTCTATTCAAAACTTCCAAAACTAAATAAACGGGGAGACATTGGGCAACCTTGTCTCATTCCCTTTTGTATCTTCCATGATTTAATTAAGTCTCCATTCACAATAGTTTGCACTTTTTGTGATGTATAAATCAATTTTACTCCTTTTATAAAGTTCTCTCCAAAGTCCATATCTTCCAAAACTTTGAACATAAAAGGCCAATTTAAATTGTCAAAAGCTTTCTCTGCATCCAAAAAAAATTAATGTAACTTGTTTTTCATTATGCTGTTCCAAATATTCTATAACGTCCAACACTGTCCTAACATTATCTTTTAATTGTCTCTTGGGTAAAAATCCACATTGATCTTCATGAATTAATTCTTGTAATATAACTTTCAATCTATCTGCTAATCTCATTGTAAACAACTTATAATCATTATTCGATAATAATGTCTATAATTTCGGTTAGATTCAATTTTTGTCCTTCTTTAGGTAATAACACCATATTAGCCTCCTCCCAAGACTCTGGCATCCCACCTTCCACCAATATAGAGTTCATTATAGATTGGAGCAGTTGTAAAATTTCATCCTCAAAGATTTTGTAGTATGATCCCAGCAGCCCATCTGGTCCTGGTGTTTTACTTGGTTTAATCTTTTTAATAGTTTTAAATACTTCCATTATTGTTATAGGTCCATTCATAATCTGTCTTTGATTATCTGTAAGCCTTGCAAATTTTGTGTTTTTAGGTAGTCATCTATTTTCTCCAGAGAGAGTGCCTGTCTTTTACATAAATTAAAATAATACTGATGATTTTTTATTTTATTTTATTTTATTTTGGTATAGTCTCATTATTACACTATCACCCTCTTGGAATTTTGTAATCATTTTCTTTTCTTCTTTCTTAATTTATACGTTAATCTCCCAGGCTTATTTGCAAATTGAAATGTTTTTTGTTTAACATAGTTCATTTTTTTTTCAAATCCTCTCACTGTTAATATAGATAGCTGTTGCTATAGAAGTTTAATTTGGTTTGAGATACTTAACTTTCCTGGTGTTAACTTTAATTCATTCTCTTTCCTCTTTATCTCCTCCAAAATAGCTTGCTTTTTCTCTTAATTCCTCTTTTTGAACTCAATGTTATGCTATATGAAATACCCTCTAATAAAAGCTTTACTTGCATTCCAAACCATTCTCAAGTCTGTACCTTTATTCAGATTATTCTAAAAAAAAAAACATGTTTTTTTTTTACAATCTTTCACTACCTCTTCCTTTTGCAGCAACATTTCATTTAATCTCTATCTGAATGAATTAGATTTTCTTTTAAAAGTCCAAGTCACTGGATTATGATCAGAAAAAGTCTTTGGTAAAATACTCTAGAAGTATTAACAGCCAAAGTCTTTGAAATCCAAATCATATGTATCCTTGAGAATGATCTCTGTCTTTCTGAAAAGTAAGTGTATTCTTTAGAACTACCATTTTTCTGTCTCCATATATCCACTAGAGATAAATTGTACATCAAATCAAAAAATGTCTTAGGTAATTTACCCTGATTCTTTTTAGCTTCCTTCACTGGTAATCTATCCACTCCATTCCAATCTTCCATCAGACACCAATTTTCATAAGAAAAATGTATCAGTTTTTCCATAAGACATTTAATTTTTTTTCCTTTATCTTCGTTTGGAGCATAAAGTCCCAGAATTAATGTTTTAATTCCCTGTAATTTGACTTCTACTCCAACAAATCTACCATATTCATCAGCCAATACTAAGTTGGGTTAACATATAACACAACTCCATTAACTTTTTTTGGGCCTGCTGAAATAAATTCTTGTCCCAAATGCTTGCAAATCAAATACTTTATGTCCTTTTTTCTAATATGAGTCTTTTGTAAGCAAATGAAATCTTGTTTAAGTTTTTTAAAATGATGAAACACTCTTCTTCTCTTTTGTGGAGCATTTGCTCCATTTATATTCCACGTTAGCCATTTGTAATCC